CTTGAAATGTCACCTTTCCAACATTATATGGTATGACACAATGTGATTGGTAGCACTGGAGATATACGACCCCAACGACATCTATGGACAAAATACGAAAAGACTTTTTCGACTACCCAATATAAACCGTGCCGCAAAGTGAAATCTTTCATAAAAGCATGATCTAACAAGAATTACAGCACCTTTATGCAGTTATGTTCTCATTTCGATCAGGTTATAGTGTTATAACCCAGCTTTCTGTGCAACATCTGACAAACTTTTTGATTCTCGCGAATAAGAATATCAGAATAGATATAATGTAAATCTTGTCAAATATTAGATGTTCTGCTCGGCTTTTACGTTCAGCATTCATCTTAAACTATCATTTCCATTTCAGAATGCAAAAGCTCGTTCTTCTTTTAGCGTTGAGCGCTACTGCTTTGGCTTGTAAAACTTGGCCAAATGGAACCGACACAACTTTCCACTGGTATCAGTGTAACGCAGGGCCTATGATGTTCTACAATGCCACCCCATACGACCAAACAGGTACAGCTTTCGGTTGCTCAGCATTTCATGTTGATACCTTCCTTTACGAAGTCAAGAGAGGCTGTTGAAGATAACTTAAACCATTAAAGGCAGTGTCAGGAAAACTATAACTTCTATATTTTTACCAGGTTCTTGTATCACTCTTGTTAAAATTCTCCTTTTCGCTTTGTTCATGAGATATATGGAAATAGCTATTCCACTGTCTCATCGTTATCGTCAAGTCTCTGATTCCCTATTTAAAGAAAAGACGGGATTTTTTTTCGACGGAAAAATAGCAAATTTGATTGGAGGTTATAAGTGCAACTGAAACTAACCATGCAACCTTATTTTTGACTGGGCTGAATTTTAACTAGGAACGAGTGTTATAGCCTCTGATTGGGATTGTGAGTGTAACAATATGTTGCATCGTGGGCGCCATATCATTGAAAAAACTATCACACCATCATTTACTAAATCGTTCCGAAAAGGCAAAATTAAATTGCTGCTGCGAGTTGCATCCACTTGTACGCCTCTTTTGAATGACTGAATCGAGTGAGTTCTTTCTTTTTTGATGGCAAAGCCCACATTTCTGCAAACTTGCGCAGAAGTCCTATCCCTTTTGACTGAGATACGGTGCGTACTCCAATAATCTTGCCTTGAAAAATTTATACATCCTCTTCTCTAAATATTCTTCCACTCGTGTTATGTTTTGGCGATATTGCTAGGAGGACAAACTGGTAACATTATTTTTGATAAGTTTTATTTTTTACTAGGAAAATATTGCTGCTTACTCAAGGAATATTGAACAAGCGCAGGCAAGCAATGCAAACAAAAGTCCAACTGGTAGTTTATTAACTGAGCATCTATTTGAAATACTGCGCGCATTGTTGCAAAAAAAACGTTTTCTGAATCAAAAATGAGAAAGTATGAGCCAAATCATTATTCCCTAAATTTAGGAAAAAATTTCGAGTATCCGATCCATCTTTCAAAGCCTATCATGGTGAAATGCGATGTGCTCAATCCTACTCATGTATACTCTGCTCCCGCTCTCAAACTTACCATCAGTTTGTGGTCCTGGGGAACAGCCGTAGGCGGCTGTGATTGGAGCTCACTACCAACATTTGGCCTGCTGTGAGTTAAGAGCGTTTAAACATTAATCATAAGTCATTTTCTACAATTATGCTAATCAAATGTCTTTTAGAAATGATTTGAACGCATGCCAACATGGTATTCCCTGCCCTATTCAGTTAGGACGTCAAGAAATTGATGTGATGGTTGATTTTACCCAATATCAAGCAATTATCAACATTCTCAAAGACGATGCGCCATATCAGTTAGAGTACGCGATGCACGACAAGACCTCTGGAGACAACATCTGCTTAATGGCACAGGCTCGAGCAAGAATAAACTAAGACATGTAGGATGCTGTCGCTAATCTTTTGTAGAACTCAATCTCTTGCTGCCAGTAGTGATGTCAAGAGTTTTATATGACGCAACATTTGCACTAATTATACATACCATTAAATCTTCATCGTCAAAAGTGTTTGAAAAATATTAGCCTGCCAATCCCCCACGTTAAAACCATTGCCTCACGGGAAGATCCAGGCAAAATGTGGTGATTCTGCGGGCGTTTGATGTGCTGCGGCTTCTAGAAGCATTGAAAGTACAACAGCTATGTGCAGGAAGTTGA